TAATTCTCCAAGCCACATTTGGTAATTCTTGTAAAACCATGCAATCTATGGGCTGATTTAGGCACTAGAGTATTGTGGATAGTGAAAAAGATTTTTGGGTGTTAGCCCTTGTCTTTGGAAGCCTTTCTAAGTGGTAGCATGGGCCTACTTTCTACCTCTGCAGGTAGGGTACAATGAATGTAAGTGAGTCTTTGAATGATGATGCTTGTCTTAGTCCATTCGGCCTACTAAAACAAACTACCATAGACTGAGTGGCTTATAGACAACAGATTTATTTCTCTCTGTTCTGGCGGCTGAAAAGTCTAAGATCCAGGTGCAAATAGATTCAGCGTCTGGTGAGGGCCCACTTCATCCTTTATATATGGTGCCTTCTTGCAGTGTCTTCACATGGTAGAAGGGGCAAGGCAGCTCTCTAGGGCCTTTTTTTTTTTTTTAATCAGGGCACTGATCCCATTTATAAGGGCTCTGCCCTCATGTCCTAATCCACCTCCCAAAGACACCACCTCCTAATACCATCACATTGGAGGTTAGGATTTCAACATATGAATCTGGGAGGGATGTAAACATTGAGTTCATAACAATGTTAATCTTGCTTTGTCTCTGCATCTTGATCCTGAATGTTGTTTTCACGATGTCTCGTGGATGTGAATACATTTTGGACCTGTTCATTTCCTTGTGATTTTCCTCTTTCTAATGTTTTGAGGGTCTGCGGAGTGAGGTTCTAATGGACTGTAAGCTTCACCTGAGGAAGTGCTTCACCTTGGGAAGAATTAGAAATAGGAAAAAAACCAACTCTTGTCTTGTTTTCAATTCCTACAATCAGTTAGCAAGCCCTGTTCAAAATATCTGAGATATGACTTAAGTATTTCCTTTACATCTTCACAAACACTGACTTCATTAGTTGCCACTGGGGTATTGCAATCACTTCCTAATCTGTTTCCTGCCACCAATCTCACTCCACTCCAGTCCACTGTTGTCACCATGACTACAGTTAACATGCTAAAAAAGGTTACTCTTCCTCTCCAAACTGTTAATTAGTTCCCCACTGTCCCCAGGAAATAAAAGGTTTCTGAAGCAATTAGAAGGATGGTGGTGAGGGGGAAAATAGCTAACCTTTAATGAGTTCTTGCAATGTGCCAGGCATTGTTCTATGGACACAATTTATTTGGACTATGTCACTTAACTTTAAAACAACTAAATGAGTAGTCATCATCATCATTATCATCATTTCAATTTGTAAGTGAAGAAACAGGAACACAGAAGAGTTAAATAACTTGCTCAAGGGCACACAAATAATTAATGGAACAAGGATTTGGGCCTTGTAAGCTACAGAAATTGACAAGATGATTCTAAAATGTACAGTTTATGGAAAAGCAAAATGACTAGGAGAGCCAAAACTACTTTGCAAAAGAAGAACAAAGTTGGAAAGTATCACTACTTGATTTAAAAAATTATTGTAAAGCTACAGTAATAAAGACACAATGATATCGGTACAAAGACAGACAAATAGATCAGTGGAATAGAATAGAACTTCATATATATGGTCAATCTTTTTTTTTTTTTTTTTTTACAAAGGTATAAAGGCAATTCAGTGGACAAAGAATAGTCTTTTCAACAAAGGATGCTGGAATGTTTGGATATCCATATGCAAAAAATAAACCATGACTTATACTTCACACCTTATACAAAAATGAACTCGAAATGGACCATAAGCCTAAATGTAATGCCTCAGCCTCCCAAGATGCTGGGAATATAGATGTGAGCCACTGTATCTGGCCGTGGATGAATCTTAAACATAGGTATGCGAAGGAAGCCAGTCACAAAGGCTATATGCTTTATGATTCCATTTATATGACTTCCATTTACATGCCCTTCTGGTAAGGCAAATCTATATGCACAGAAGAAAGATAACCAGTTGCCAGGGATTCTGGGTGGCGGGAAGAAGTTGACTCCAAAGATGCATGACGGAATTTTGTTTTGCAAGATGGAACAGTCTATCACTTGATTACAGTGGTGGTTGCATGGCTATACATATTTTTCAACACTCACAGAACTGAAAAGGATGAATTTTACTCTGTGTCTATTATATTTAATTTTTTAAAATTTCATGCTTGACCCAGAATGGGTATAGAAAAAGAAATTAGGCCAAGTGCGGTGGCTCACACCTGTAAACCCAGCACTTTGGGAGGCTGAGGCAGGAGGATTGCTTGAGCCCAGGAGTTGGAGACCAGCCTGGGCAACCTGGCAAAATCCCATCTCTAAAAAAAAAATACAAAAATTAGCCAGGCATGGTGGTGCATGCCTGTTGTCCCATTTACTCAGGAGGCTGAGGCAAGCAGACTGGTTGAGCCCAGGAAGTGGAGGCCAGAAGGTCAAGGCTGCAGTGAGCCGTGATTGCGCCACTGCACTCCAGCCCGGGTGACAGAGCAAGATCCTGTCTCAAAAAAAAAAAGAAAGAAAGAAAGAAAGAAAGAAAGAAAGAAATTTATGAATTGAAAATTATGTAAACTATCTTGCAATTAATTGAATTCTCTTATTCCTCTAGCAAAGGTTAGTCTGGCCAGGACATTTCTTAGCATGTGAATCTCTGCTGAGCTGCTACAGGGGAGGGCTGTAGTTGGAGATCTTTTAATGAACCAGAGTGCTCATTAACGTGCTTGGAAGGCTCAAAGGATGGTGTGTACACAGAGTAATTTTTTTCTAAAAACATCATATTGTGTAAAAACAAGGCAATTAGGCAGCTCAAGTAAAGGGGATAGCCAACCCATGATAGGCAGTGTCAGGCCCACACACACACACACACACAGGTTCACAGCCTCTTCCAGTGCACCTGTGGCCTAGGCAGCCTTGGCATCTTCTCTCTGGGAAGTCAAGAGTGAGTCACATCTTCCATTTTTAGTCTTGTTAGCTTTAATACCTGAAAAAACCTTACATGAAATTGCCCATTTCACTAGGATGGAATACAATTTCACTTCTCCATATGCCCAGATATATTACATAGCACATTATCTACATCATTAAGAATGAATGGCTGACTTGTCTCACTTATCTTCAGTCCTAAATGCAGCAAATGCTGCCAGTACCATGTCCATCTCCCCTAGGCACTCATCATTCTGTACACACAAAGTCTTACTGCAATCACCTGTAACTCTGTCTGAGAGCATCCTCAAGCCACATCAGCATGGGTGGCCCCTGTATGTGGCAACCAGAAGTATCAGGAAATAACATTCCCAGCACTGTCCTAAGTCAATGAGAAAGAAGTGGATGAATAAATACCCCAGCTTCCTTGCCTCTAGGGCAGAACAATCTGAGGCTTCTTCTGTACTGTCTTCCAAGGTCCTCAGCATGGACCAGTTTTCCGGAGCTGCTTGTGCTCAGGAATACGTCTTCCATTGTTTCCCCATCCCTGACTCAGCTCCCCTTTCTGTCACCAATGCTTCTAAGGATTAGCACCCAAAGAAACTACTCCCACTCAAATCCTCTCCTCCGGGAATGCTTTTGGGGAAACCCAAGTGAAGACACGGGCAATTCACCAGCTGAAGATCGAGTCCATCCCATGGCAGGGCGCAGACGTACCTCTCTAATAAGTGAGATGCACCCTGGGATATCAGCTGGGGGAGGGGCAGAATTTAGATCACACTCATGGATCAGAAAAACAGGCTATGGAGTAGTTCTCCCCAAAAAAGCATTATTGATCTTGTCCAATAAAAAAACACAAACAAACAAACTGGGAGATTTCAAGGCAACAAAGTTAATGGAAAACAATGTCCCATAGGTTACCTAAGACTGAACGATAACACTGCAAATCCATCATTAGGATCTCAGCTAAGGTCTACAGTTTAGTCTCATCATTGAAAATGTATTGCCATCACCTGGAACAATTGTTCTCATCCTTATCAGGTGCAAATCACCTTGTAGAAATGAATGGTTTCATGTCTCTCTACCATCCTGAACTGCAATCCATAGACAATGTAATGACCCACCACATAATTTTTTAATCTGTAAGTGCCCTAACTCAACACATGGAGAAATAAAAGGTGAGTAATTATGTAAATGAACGTCATGTACTGGTGTATCTACATGAACACCCCCAGGCGGGAACTCACTGGACGACGACACGAAGAATCCTGACGCTTGCCACAACCTGTGGGTTCTCCGGGCATGGAAGCATTGCCACTTCGGGCTCATTCCGCAGCCCAGTGGCTGACGGATACCGGCAGCAGCGCTGCCATTGATGGCAAGAGATTCCAAAAATGCCAACAATTGTTGAAGTTTCCACCAAGACCAGTAACAACTTCCCATGATTTCCCGACAGTGTCATTCCTGTGGAAACTGATCTCTATGCACCGTACGAAAGATGCATCTATACCATCGTCGGTAGCCTGTACTTTTGCATGTATGCTTTCAAGGTGAAATGGCAAGTGGTCGAGTGCAAGTGCTGGCAGCAGACCCGGAAGTGCAGCGGGTGAGCCTCGCGCCCAGGAGGCCAGAGAAGCAGGAGCCCCGGAAACTGCGGTGCAGCGAGTGCGCATGCGCAAAGACGGGGCCCAGGAGCTGACCCCGGCCCTGCAGTTCCCTTCCGTTGCAGCCTGCAGAGACGCAAAGCCCCGGGCCACGACGACGACCCGTCAAGTACTGATGTTTTAAGAAACCCTCAAACAGATTGGGTAGTGCTTCCCTGGGGGCGGTTTTCTGGGCAGGTGCCCGGACAGTGTCCAGGAGCTGACCCCGGCCCTCCCGCTCACTTCCGGTCCAGCACGCCGAGACGCGAAGCCAGTGCCAGGTCGACGACCCCTCAGGTACCGATGTTTTCAGAAACCCTCAAACAGATTGGGTAGCGCTTCCCTGGGGGCGGGTTTCTGGGCAGATGCCCATGTTGAACTCAGTGTGGACTTGCGGCATCTTGCGGTTCTGTACATTAATATGACAGCCGTAATTCCATCCTGCTTCACCACGCACATGCGTTTTCTCTCCTCTTAGGGGCCCTGTTTTCTGGCACAATGGATAGAGATTTAGAACAGGCTCTGGATCGCGCAGAGAATATCATTGAAATTGCCCAACAGAGACCTCCTAGAAGGAGATACTCACCTAGGGCGGGAAAAACTCTGCAGGAAAAACTTTATGACATTTATGTAGAAGAATGTGGAAAAGAGCCTGAGGATCCTCAGGAATTGAGAAGCAATGTAAACTTGTTAGAAAAGCTTGTTAGGAGAGAGTCCTTGCCATGTTTACTGGTCAATCTATACCCAGGCAATCAGGGGTATTCTGTGATGCTCCAGAGAAAAGATGGGTCCTTTGCAGAGACCATTCGGCTGCCTTATGATGAAAGGGCATTGCTCGACTACTTGGATGCAGAAGAATTACCCCCTGCTTTGGCCGATGTCCTTGATAAAGCTTCGGTTAACATTTTTCATAGTGGGTGTGTCATAGTAGAAGTTCGTGACTACAGGCAGTCCAGTAATATGCAACCTCCTGGTTACCAAAGCAGGCATATTCTCCTACGTCCAACAATGCAGACTTTAGCCCATGATGTGAAGATGATGACAAGAGATGGCCAGAAATGGAGCCAGGAAGACAAGCTGCAGCTTGAGAGCCAACTGATCTTAGCGACAGCTGAACCACTGTGTCTCGATCCTTCTGTAGCAGTCGCCTGCACTGCAAACAGGCTGCTGTACAACAAACAAAAGATGAATACTGACCCGATGAAACGGTGCCTCCAGAGGTATTCGTGGCCCTCTGTAAGGTCACAGCAGGAGCTGTCTGACTATCCACCTCCTCCTGAGATGAGAGTGTCGACTTCTGGCCTAAAAGAAGAAAGAAAAGCAGGTCAGCCTTATGAGCTGGACATTGCTAAAGCAGGACGTTGTGTAGACATGTGGAAACGCAGATCCTGGGATTTGGCCGTGCCTTCGGAACTGGATGTGGAGAAACTTGCTAAAGGGTGTCAGCCTGTCAGAGCTGCTGAGACACAGCTCCCAGTCTGGCCAGCCCAGGAGGTAGAAGACCCTTTCGGATTTGGATGGGAAGCTGGCTCTCAGGCCTGGGACACCAAGCCAAGCATCATGCAGTCGTTTAATGATCCACTTCTCTGTGGTAAAATACGGCCCCGTAAAAAAGCCAGGCAGAAGAGCCAGAAGTCTCCCTGGCAGCCCTTCCCAGATGACCATGCAGCTGGTCTCAGGCCTGGGTCAGAGACTGATGCTGGGAGGGCAGTGAGTCAGGCCCAGGAATCGGTGCAGAGCAGAGTCAAAGGTCCAGGCAAGATGTCACACAGCTCCAGTGGCCCAGCCAGTGTCAGTCAGCTGTCCTCATGGAAAACACCAGAACAGCCTAAGCCTGTGTGGGTCCAGTCTTCAGTATTGGGGAAGGGAGAGAAACATCCGCCTCCCCGAAACCAACTTCCCTCAAGCTCAGGAAAGAATTCCTCAGGTACCAGTTTCTCCCCACAACAGGCAGGCAGCTCTCTTAAGCGTCCTTTTCCTGCTGCTGCTGCCGCTCCTGCGGCTTCTGCTGCATCTCCCGCTGCTGCTGCTGCTGCTGCTCCTGCTCCTGCTCCTGCTCCTGCTCCTGCTCCTGCCACTGCTCCTGCTCCTGCTCCTGCTCCTGCTGTAGCTGCTGCTTCTGCAGCACCAAGTCATTCTCAGAAGCCCTCTGTGCATTTCATTCAAGTTAGCAGGCCCTATCCAGCTGCCCAGCCCCCCACCAGACTCATAAAAATAGCCCCAGCCATTCAGGTCAGGACAGGCTCCACTGGCCTAAAGGCCATCAACATGGAGGGCCCAGGCCGGGCAGCCCAGGCTTTGGGTAGCAGTTACAAGCCTGTGCAGGCCCCTGGCTCGGGTGGCCCGGCTCCTGCAGGAATCAGTGGCAGTGGCCTTCAGTCCTCAGGAGGTCCACTACCAGATGCAAAGCCCAGTGCAGCACAGGCATCTTCTCAAGCACCCCTTCAGTTTTTCCTAAATACTCCTGAAGGTCTCAGGCCCATGACTGTCCTCCAGGTTCCACAGGGCTCCGTGGTTTTGAGCAGCACGCAGCAGCAGTTCCATCAGCTGGTTTCCCTGCAGCAGCTCCAGCAGCCCACAGCTGCCCACCGTCCTCAGCCAGGGCCACAGGGTTCCGCACAAGGTATGAGCACTCAAGGGCAGGCCTTCCCTGCTCAGCAGCTTCTTAAGGTGAACCCCACTGGAGCAGGTGGTGGTCTGCAGCCCCTCACTGGATTGGGTCTACTTGGCTCTGCCCAGGTTCCTCAGCAGGGTATCCAGCTCCCCTCTGTCTTGAGGCAGCAGCAGCAGCCACAGCTGCGGCTGAAGCAGCAACCGCGGTCACAGCCGCAGCTGCCACAGCCGCCGAAGCTGCAACTGCAGCAGCAGCCACAGCCACAGCAGGAGCAGCCACAGTCACAGCAGCCACAGCCGCAGCGTATCCAGCTCCAGACGCAGCAGTTGAGAGTCCTGCAGCAGCCAGTGTTTTTGGCAACAGATAGTGTTCAGATAGTGCAGCCACGTCCAGGTGGGCAAGCAGCGAGCCAGTCGGTAGTGCAGACAAAGGGAGGCAAGCCAACCCCTCCAGCGCCCTGAGGCTTGTGGTTGTTTGTCTCTCTTTTAAAAGCACAGGAGCACTGACCCAAATGAATTCCCAGTTTTTACTTGAGTTTTGTGTTTTTTTTCCTCATGTTTTAAATACACACTTTACACAGAAGCACAATCCACTGATTTTTATTTAGAAACAGGGAAGTGATCTCCTAAAGGAGCATTGTTTTGCTTAAGTTACTCCTTTTGTTGTCGTTGCTGTTGATATAATTAGTTTTAATATAGTATTTTAAAGTGTCCAAATCCTAACCAGTTTGATTTTAAACTTGTGAAGTGTATAATTTCTCTAAAGCCATAAGATGGCAATACCAACAATGTTAATATTTTAACAAGATTTTAATTTTAAGTTAATATTTTAACAAGAAGAGTGCAATTTAAATTTTTTTAAATGGTGGTAAAAATGTATAATCTAAAATGGACCACCTTAACTATTTTAAGTGCGCGGTTCAATAGTATTAAGTCCACCCCCACAGTTGTGCCGCAGGTTTCCAGACCATCTTACAACACTGAAACTCATGCCCATTGAATACCAGCTCCCCATTCTCCCTTGCCCAGTCCCTGGCAGCCACTGTTCTGCTTTGTTTCTCTATGAGTTCACCACCCTGGCCACTTCATGGAAGTGGAATCATATGGCATTTGTCCCTTGGTGAGTGGCTTATCTCACTTGGCATAATGTCCTCACGATCTATCCCTGCTGTCTCATGTCACATGAAGGTCATTGCTTTTTAAAAATGGTCTCACTGTACATAATATATATGAAAGTGACCTATGAACTCTGAGAAACCTCGTTCAGAAGAGTTCTGAAAGAGTGTAATTGTACTTAGATTAATAGGTTTATGTATAATATATGGAATGGAATTATTACACATTCATTTTGAAAAATAAAATGAAAGTACAGTACAGTGATGCTTGTTACACTGCAGTTGAGTACATGGGAGACTTCCAAAGCTATGGAATAGAATTAGTGGCAGATTTGCTTGTGTGACAGTCCCCTGCCCTTTCAAAGGCCCGGTCTGCACCTAGTGCTCCACAGAGCGAGGCTCTCTCACTGGCTTTGAAAAGGCGCTTCGTGGATGTTTTGTGTGCTCTCTCTTTATAAGATCATTTACATTTTTTGTAGTTTGTTTGCAAGAAGTTAATAGTGAAACATTTGAAAATCCATTTTATTGGTTTGCTTTTCAAATATTTGTAGCCTTGTTTCTTAAGTAGAACCCCCGTCTTTGTCTTTGTCTTTTTCTCTTTGTTGATGCGTCATCATCAGTTGTTCAGCCGTTTCTGTTCCCTCATTTTTTCCCTCATTGCAGTGAGACTCAAAGAAACATGAACTTTTGTGCGCTTTTGTTTTCCATTTCTTTTTCCTTTTTAAAAACTAAGGAGTAATCACAGAACAACCAACCATTGTAAAGTACAGTTGTAAAGTGGCATTTAGTACATTCATGATGTTGTACAACTACCCCTTCTGTTTCCAAAACATTTTCATCACCCACCAAGAAGTCTCTGTATCCATGAAGCACTAGCTTGTCATCTTCACACCCCCAGCCTCTGGCAACCACCGATTTGCTTTCTGTTTCTATGGATTTACCTAAATATTTCCTGTAAATGTAGTCATACAGTATGTGGTCTTTTGTGTCTGGCCTCTTTCACTCGGCATAATGTTTTTTGAAGTTCTTCCATGTTGTAAAATGTATTGCTACTTTATTCCTTTCTGTGGTTCAATAACATTCCATTGTTTGTATATAGCATATTTTTGTTTGTTAATTCATCTGATGATGGACACTTGGGTTGTTTCTACCTTTTGGGCGCTGTGCATAGAGCTGCTGTCAACTTTCATGTACAAGCATCTGTTCTAGCACCTCATATTTTGCTCTTTTACAACCTTGAAGGGCACCCTGTGTAATACTTGTTTTTCTAGGTACACATCTATATTTCTCTGTTTTTTGCCTTAATGAAATAGAAGGAAATTTGATCTGGCGGTTCCAAAAGACGTCAGTAAAGAGACAGGTATCCAGTGAATCTTACTTGGTGAACCCTTTTACTAATGCGCTACCGATGCTGTTAAAGATTTGACTAACTTCAGGCAAACACATCGAATTTCCCAAGTGACACCAAGTCCATCAGAGCAGCCTGAACATAACTGGGAATGGTGCCTGCACTTTTAAGAAGCAAACCAGTGCAACAGCTGGTTGCAAAGAAGAGTTTCTCCTTAGCTTTGGGTGCCAACTAGAGACCTGAACTCAGAATATCATCAGATTTGGTCTACTTCCTTCCTTTGTTGTCTATCTGGTCCTTTCAAGTACTACATGGAGCTACCAGCCAAACTTGTGCTTGAGTGATGTGGCTCTTTCTTCCCAGTCAGGCAAATAAATTCAGCTTTGTTTCAGATGACTGTTTGGCAAACTTTGTTGATTTCCTTCTAATTATCCCCACCTACTTGGTACTTTGATACAGGGTACCTTCTGAAGACATTAGCTGGCTACATTTTGTGAGTAAACTTTTTATTTATTTTAGTATCATGAGAACCTAGATACTATCCCAGGACAAGTTCAAAATTAGTTCTCTGTAGGTTGCATCTTCAGGGCTTAACAGCAGAACGTTGATGGTGAAGTGGTTGTGTGAAAGCAGTTGTCCCTAGAATGTTCTGACAGTTTGCAGAGAAGGTAGGCCTGCAGATGAGCATCCAGGAAAATCCAGGTAGGCCCAGCACAACGGGACATGTCAGGCGGAATTGAGCCTTTGTCACAGAGTGGGAATTTGGGAACAGGATTATATTCCTTGAGGATAATTGCAAGTGAAGAGAGGACCCTAGCCCTAGAGCAGTGCTATCCAATAGAAGCATAATATGAGACCCCTATATAATTTTAAATTTTCTAGTAGTTACATTTTTTAAAGTAAAAAGAAATGAGACATTACTTTGAATAATAATTTCTATTTAACCAAATATATCCCAAATATCATTCCTATCTTACCAATATTTTAAAATTCTCAATGAGACATTTTACATAAGGCTTCCAACTCCAGAGACTCTCAATTCATATATCAAATTTTCATCAAATATTTGATCTGTATTTAGATTTTGTAAACCTTACAGTTGAAAATGTAGATTCACTTTCCAAACATACTTGGAAGTTTTCCCATAATTGAATCAAGTACCAGTTTTAAAATTTAAATTAATTAAAAGTACATAAAATTTAAAATTAGTTCCTCAGTCTCGCTAGTCACATTTCAAGTGCTTAATAGTCATGTATGGATAGTGGCTATTGTGTGGGTCAGCGCAGTTCTAGAGGGACAGGAGCAAAGCAGATTATGGGGACAGAGCATCAGGCATGACCTGGGTTTGGGGCACACAGGTGGAGTGAGATTTATGATGCTGATGCATGTAGTGGGCTGGAGCTTCTTGAAATCCTCATGGCCTATAGTCACCTGGGCCAGGGTCTGCAGCTAAAGATCAAGTGGCCCCAGCCATGGAGCAAGGAGGGTGGAAAAGGTCAGCCTTTTGCCAGGCTGTGCACAGCCATATGCAAAATACCTACCAGGACGACACTCATTTTCCCAGCAGTCAACTCACCAACCCGTATCTACCCTAAAGTGCTTGGAACCTAAGGGAGTGGGAGAGAGGAGAGGTGCTGCACTTTTTTTTTTTTTTGAGATGAAGTCTTGCTCTGTCGCTCAGGCTGGAGAGCAGTGGCGTGATCTCAGCTCACTGCAGCCTCCTCCTCCCGGGTTCAAGTGATTCTCCTGCCTCAGTCTCCCGAGTAGCTGGGATTACAGGTGCCCACCACCACGCTCAGCTAATTTTTGTATTTTTAGTAGAGACAGGGTTTCACCATGTTGGCCAGGCTGGTCTCGAACTCCTGACCTCAGGTGATCCACCCGCCTAGGCCTCCCAAAGTGCTGGGATTACAGGCGTGAGCCACCGCGCCCGGCCGGCACCGCACTTTTATTTTTCCTTTTGCACCTCCTTCCTGTGCATCTTCTGGGTCTCTAGCTCCTCCTGCAGAAGTGAAACCTGATCAGCCATGAGTTGATATTTGTGGGAGCTGGTTGATGGGTATATGGAGACTCATTATACTATTCTACTTCGGCATATGTTTGAAATTCACTTATATATGAATTCATAGATATTATGTCCATTTGAATAGTCAAGTTCCTGATATTCCTACAGCCCCATTAACACACCTTCCCCCCATCCCAACCTTTATCTTGTACTCGAAGTCCAGGCCCCAGCCTTTGACTTGCCCTTCTGTCTTCCCTGCTTTACTCCCATAGCTGCAGGCAGCAAAGCGTGTGTGAGTTAATTGTTAAATTCAGTTCAACAAGTTCCTCATTAGGGACAAATTACCTGAGTTTGAAATCTGCTAATTTTCCAATCAGAGTGAGTGTTTGCACTTGTGATTTGGAAATAATTACCATATGGTAAAAGCAAAACCTATGTGGGGATTAAAGTAAAGGTGAGGGAGGACAGGAGCTTATTTTTGGCAGCTTCCCTGGAAACCCACGTTAGCATATGCAGATTAGTGGAGGTGCCCCTGCATTTGGGGTGGGAAAGTTCACCTGTAGCACTGTTTTGCAAAGGCTGTTTACTTCATGTGCTAATGCCCTGGAAAGGGGACTGTGGCCTTTGAAGGGAGAGCAGTGTGACTTTCGTAGGCCGAAATTACACCTGGGAAAGAGAAGAGCCTTTTGAATGTAGCTATTTCATCTAAAAATATATCTATACTTTTATTTAAATCTGTCCTCAGTCTGAAGCTTCTGCATGAGTTGGAAATAAAAACATTTCTTTGAGGTAGAAGGGGTGAGTTTAAGGGGTGAGAATCTCACAATGAATGTAGCAAGGAAAGCTCAACTGAGAGAATTTAAAGAATTATAGGAGAGTAATTGCCGCAGAATAGCATTGTGATCCCGAGTATAGAGATCTAGGTCATTCACCTTCAATAATTTGTCCCAGTCCCAATTACTACATCACTAGTTCTAAAGCTTTAGAAACCACT